TCACTGGTAACGTGTGGGTGGTCGCACAATTCGTCCAGATCGAGTGGTGGTCACCGATGGGGAAATCTCCTGCTTATCTGCTGCAGACTGAGGTGGATATTCCGGATGTGGCTTGTCCGTGTTCTGCAAAGGTACTGTGTCTGATTGGTCCTTACTGACTGCAGTACTTGGTATGGAAGGTGGTACCGATGGTATTTCATTACCAGAATTTGCAGTAGCAGAAATTGGTGTTGCTTTTGGGGATAATCTCATCCCATCTTCACTGTGTGGCATCACTTCACGTGTATGTCTCAGGTGTCTGCGGTTCCTCCTATAAATTCTTCCATCTTCTGTTCTGACTTGATAGGACCTTATGTCGACTTTGCCTTCGACTCTTGCTTGGGTCCAATCCTTCTTCTTTCCCAAGTGGGATTTTAGTGGCTGCAATCGCACTGTGTCTCCTGGGCGCAGTTCCTTCAGTTCTTTGGCGCCTTGATTGTAGTACAGGGATTGTTTAGCCTTTTGTAGCTTCAACTTCTGATCAACCTCCTCTGGTAGCTTCGGCTTGAGCAATTGGTTTGAGGTTGGGAGTGGAGTCTTTGTTCTTCTACCGAATAATCGCTGAACAGGTGACGAGTTGAGTGTTTCTGTGGGAGTATTTCTCCAGTCCAGCAGGGCAAGATATGGGTCTTGTTCGGACTTGACGGCTTTCTCTAGCAGATGTTTTGCTGTCTTCACCGTGTTCTCGACTTTGCCGTTGGACTGAGGATATGTTGGAGAGCTTGTTATATGTTCAAAACCATAAGTGTCTGCGAACTGTTGGAACTTTGCGGAAGAAAAGGGCTGTCCATTATCCGATACAAGCTGGTCGGGAATTCCATGGCGGGCAAGATGGGCTTTCAACTTCTTCACAACTTCGTCTGCTGTCTTGCTTGTCATTCTGTCGACTTCAAAGAAGCTTGAATAGTAGTCAACGGTCACCATGAAATCTACACCGTTCAGATCAAAAAGATCAACTGCGATTTTCTCCCAGGGTCTACTAGGCAGTTCGTGACAAATCATTGGCTCTTTTCCTTGCTCGACAGGCTGGCTGTTGCAAATGGCACACTTTGCTACATAATCTTCGACATCTTTGTTCATCCCAGGCCAGTAAACTACTTCTCTTGCTCTTCTGAGACAGCCTTGGATGCCGATGTGGCTCCGGTGGATCTTAGCCAACATGTCAGCTTTCACGCTCATAGGGATAACTAGTCTTTCACCTTTGAAGACCAGTCCATTCTGTAAAGACAGTTCGTCCCGAAATGTAAAGTAACCACTGATGTTTGCTGATACCCCAGCTTTGGTAGCTGGCCAACCTTGCCTGATTGTTTTCTTCAGCTCTCTCAGGGTAGGATCGGATTCTGTTGCTTGCTGAATGGCAATCAGCGTTGGTTCCGATACTGGCAAGTATTGTATCATATTGATGTGCTCTAGCTCTCTTTCAGTGTCTCCTCTCATGTCCTCTATGTACATAACATCTTCTGCTACATCTTCTTTTGTGCTCTTGCGCACTCTGTATGCTCTGCTCAGTGTATCTGCCAGATACATTTCAGTCCCTTTTTTGTAAGACACTTGAAGGTCAAACTTCTGCAATCTTAGCAACATTCGCTGGAGACGTTTAGGCGCACTGAGTAGACTTTTACGGAAGATGCTCTCCAAGGGTTTGTGGTCAGTTTGGATCTTGACAGGTCGACCATATACAAACTGCTCAAAACGTTCTACTCCGAAAAGTATTGCAAGCATCTCTTTCTCTATCTGGGCATAGTTCACTTCTGTTTCTGTCATGGAACGAGATACATAAGCCACGGGCTGGCCTCCTTGCATTAGACATGCACCAAGTCCTCGGTCTGATGCATCACACTGCAATTCCACGTCGTCTTTGGGGTTAAAATACTTGAGGACAGGGGCAGCTGAGAGTATCTCCTTAACTCGCTTGAAACTACAACCTTGTACTTGCTCATCCCAACGGAACTGGTTCCCTTCTTTCAAAAGGTCTCTCATTGGGGATGTAACTTCTGACAGGTTAGGAGCAAACTTCTGGAGGTAATTTACCATGCCGAGAAGTCTCTTGAGATCTTGTTTGCTTGTCGGGGTTGGCATCTCTTTGATACCTTGTACCTTGTCTGGGTCAGGCTTAAGACCATCTTGACATATAACATGTCCCATAAACTTCACTTCTTTGCGACGGAGCTTAAGCTTCTCTTTGTTTAACTTAATGCCAGTAGCGCGGCAGCGTTCTAACAATGCTGTCAGCTTTGCATCATGGTCAGAAAGTGCTTCAGCTTCTGTTTCTCCGACACCAAAAACAAGGATATCATCAAATATTGGCTTAATTCCATCAAGACCTTCCAGGGCGTATTCCAATCTCCTCTGAAACTCTTCCGGAGCGGGTGATATGCCGAAGGGCATCCGCGTCCAGCGGAACCTTCCCCAGGGGGTACCAAATGTGGTCAGAAGACTGCTTTCATCGTCTAGCTGCACATGCCAAAAACCGTTCTTTGCGTCGACGACACTGAAGACTTTAGCATTTGTAAGGAGTGGTAGTAGATCGTCGATCACTGGAAGGGGAAAATGATTTCTCCTGAGTGCTTTATTCAGAGGTTTTGGGTCAATACATAACCTTATCTTTCCATTGCTCTTCTTAATGACCACCATTGAGGAAATCCAATCTGTTGGAACATCTACTGGTTGCAAGATGCCTATCTTAACTAAGCGTTCTAGTTCCTGTTTTAAAGGCTCTTTTACTGCAAAGGGGACTTTCCTCACTGGCAGTGCCACAGGGGTTACAGACTTATCAATCTCGAGGTGAAGCTTTCCTTTGAGCTTTCCTTCTCCTGAGAAGACATCTCCGAATTTGCTCACGAGATCCGGCTGTGTGGGAATCTCATTCGAGAGAGACATGATGTTATCGGTGTTAATCACTATGAGGCCAAACTGCTGCACCGATTCAGCACCAAGGAGTGCTGTGTGACCTGTTGGAACGACGGTGTATTCCGTGAGGAAACACTGTCCATTCTTGGGGTTGAAGGTCTCGACCTTAGTACATCCTAGAGGTTTCAGCTCTGATTTGTTGAACATGACGAGGGTAGTTTGAGTAGGCTGAAGGCGTTCCATTCGCGGATCGTTAAATACCTGCTGATAAATATCTGCTGGGAGGATATTGACTGTTGCTCCACAGTCTAACTGGAATTTCACTGTTTCATCCCTCAAGCGCATGTTAGCATAAATCTTCTTTGGACTGTTTTTTGCATAAAGGACGCTCACAGATTCTACACTGAATAAGTAATCATCAGAATCTTCGTCATTAAACTCCTGAACTTCTTGTTCTACATTGTGAACTGACTTCTTAGTTTGCTTTTTGTTAGCTTTCTGACTTCTGCAAGCCACTGAGAAGTGGTTCATTCGACCACAGTTATCACACTTGTGCTGCCATGCTGGACAGAGTTCCTTTTTTAAAGGATGGGTTCTGTGGCAGAACTTACATCTAACTGGTTCTGTTACTTTGTTGGGGACGGGGCGTTGAACTTTACTGAAATTTCGTACTTCATTATGGCGTAAACCAATCTTCGATTTTGGGTGGCCTGTGGCAACGGCGCTAACCTCCTCCGCATGGGACATCTCCTTAAGTTGTTTGGATGTGGTTTCACTCGCACGGCAAATATCAATACACTTGTTAAGAGTTAGTTTGTTCTCAGCTAGCAGCTTTTTTCGGGTGGCGTTATCTCTAATTCCTACCACAACTCTGTCTCTAATCATTCGCTCTTGCATGATGCCAAAATTGCACGTTTTAGCTAACGAACGTAAAGCTGTAAGGAAAACATCAAATGACTCACCGACCTCCTGTACTCTCTGATTGAACAGATAGGCTTCGTATATTTCATTCGTCTCACCGATGAAAAAGGCGTCTAGAAGCTCTATCACTTTGTCGATGTCGGTTTTCTCCTCTTCATTTCCGAAGGGCAAACCATCGTAAATCTCCAGGATATCTGGGCCAATACATGTCAACAATGTGGCTGTTCGAAGATTACTGCTTTGCGTACTGAGCCGTGAGGCGATCTCGTAGTTTGTCCAAAGCCGCTTAAATTTCTTCCAATTCACAGCTAAGTTCCCCTTGAAGTCTAGTTTCGACGGTAAAGGAATAGAGGACTGGATAAATTGAGGAGTTGCTGGCTGCGTGCTTGTTGAAGCTACGCTCGACGAGCCTGATTCGGTCATCTGGAGCTAGATTCACTGAGTTTGGCTTGAAAATGCACTCAAGTATTTCAGCGACGATTCTGTAGGAAGAATCCCACTCCTGACACCATGTGGCGTTGTTTATAGGAAGAACACGACACACACAGGTCAAGTAACACAGGTCTATTTAATCGATGTCCGACGAACTCTACAGAACCGGAAAGCATGGTCTCTAAAGTTTTGTTGCCATGGTAGTTATGACGTAAATGCGGACCGGAAGTAAATAGAACGATAACATCGATGATCCATCCTCGTAGGCTGCGATTGGCATTAATGGCTGAAATTCCTGCGACCCGTTGGACAGCGTTCCACTACTGAGAGGGCTTGGTGGACTTGAGATGGTCAACTTTGCTAGCAAAGTACTTGCCGCGAAGAGATTTCCGCTCGCGGTTGACGATGTTGCAGTAGCGGCTGAAGGCGTCCTTATCTCCCTTGTTGAACGCTTGCTGGCGCAGCTTAATAAGGTTTTTAAACTCGGCGGGGATCCATGGCGCATCATTAACGTGTGTCTTGATGTGCTTAACCAGCATGATGTGATCCATACCAATCTGAATTATGTCAACGAACATGCTTAACCTAGCCTCGCAGTCATCTCCATTAACTGGAGACCAGTCGATTGACGAGACTACCAGGTAAGGAATACAAATATTACATCAAAAAAATAATTAAAAGAAAATGAAAAAACAGTGTGAAGAATAAAAATGAAGTACCTTCAAATGACACTGGACAAAAGGAAGCAAAGCATGAAGACATGTAACTAAGATCATGATGAAGTATATTAAGACCATGCAAGAAAAGCAGGCCCAGTCTTAACATGGGTTAATGCAATCCAAAAGGAAATTGCAGGTAACCTGCATCTCTCAGAGATAATAAGCTGAAATTGAGATAAAGATGAGGACTTAGCAATGTTCCTAAATACAAGGAAAACATTTTTCTTTACAAATTTCACAAGAAATTGCCTTTAAATGCCAAAAATCAACACTGATCATATATCATGTTATTGATGATACCCTTAACTGTGGTCCAGATCGTGGCCCTGTTTATGAAGAAGACGACAATGTTTATAATACAAATGTTGATACTTGAAGCTTTCTTCCAATAAATAATAGCCAACAACAGGAAAAACATTCAATAAATCAGCTAGTTTTACAAGGTCATATTGACTGGCCAAGTTCAAGCGACAATCCTTTAAATGAATTTCCCACCGCATTTTTGGCTACACTGGCATTCCCAACACTATTTCCACATAGTGAAGGGGACCCAACAAACCTGTCCCTGTTAAAAAATGTTACTCTTAAGGAAAAGATCAAACACCTTATTAAATTTGGAGAGAAAAAAGATAATAAATGGTGTCATCGTTTTGCAAATCATCCAAGATTTTCTTACTGAGCTTTAAATATGATTCAACGTAAACAAATTCTTTAACAAAGTGGAATATTTTTTAAGAAAAATCCGGGAGAAAAACATTTAGTCAGTTTAGTGTAGGGAAGTTCAATGTTTGTTGTGTAAGAATGCCACCTTATGTAATATTTTTGATAAGATTCTAAAGAATTTCCATTAGGCAAAAAAAAAGGCTCACACAGCTATGTTTTAATTCAGGACATTTGAAACACCAGTGATCCCACAAGCTCGTCTCCGGGAAAATATAGCTCTCCTACTCTTGGCAATTACATACAAATTAATAAGTGAATAAAGAGGACCATCAACTCTGTTTTTCCACCATGAATGTTACTGGTTCCTATTTCAGGGGAAAGGCTGAACTAGCAGAAGTGGCAAATCTATCATGCTAGAGAAGCAGGACTTTGAACAGTGAAATTTTCACAATCTATGGAATCAGTGCTTTGAAGAAAATGGAAATGGTGCCAGGATTAGACTTCCTATAAAAGTGCACCTGAATTTGTCATGGTCACCTAAATTTTCTGCTGTTGAAAATGGAACTCTGGCAAATTCTCTAAGGATGCCCCTTGAGAAACTCACCGCAGACTTTGTACACATTTTTTTGCTTTCAGCCAAAACCCTATGGGGCTGGTATTCAGTTGCCAGTTACTGAGACTTTTGTACAGTGTTGCAAAGTCCAGCCATATTTTTGATCTTGTCAGCAGTTTCAGTTTCTGTTTTGTTTTTAGTGTGGCCAACAACAACCCTATCTGGCTTCTGTAATCATACTATTAATTTCACTAAAAATGCTTCCAATTGAATCGCTGAAAGAGATTTCTTTGACTTTCTTTTTTCTTCCTCTGAGGAGGAATTGTATTTTAGGGTTTCTTGCTCTCTTGGTCCTGCCAAATCACAGGGGAAACTTTGCTTTATGGATGAAGTGTGTTTTATGCCTGAGTCACTCTCCTTTACCAAAATGCTTTCATGGTTAAATCGAAAAAGATTTCTCAACCAAAGAGCAGTTCCAGCCTCAGTGAAAAAAAGTTTTTAATGTTCTTCCTTTGTTTTGGCTGGAAGAAACTGGCTTCCCTTTGTATCTTATATTAATATATACTTTCTCCAAAATAAGGCCTTTCTTGCTTTACCTTCTGTTGTCCCAGAGAGATTTTCTACTCAACCTGCTCTTTTTGCCAATGCTTGGTTCATGTCATGTCTCTTGGCAGTGTCATCAGTAAAGAAAAATGCATGGTCCCTAATGGCTCCTTCCGACAGAGCAACATAATCTAACACAAGCTGTGGGCCAGGCAAACCTTCTGAGGTTTTCTCAGAGGGGTCCTTGGTGATTATTCTACGCCATTCTCATGGCAATGGATAGGGAATTTCCAGGGCAAATATTGGTTTCTCCTAATAATCCTCTGGTAACAACAAGAGGATTTCCTCTAATATAAACATTGCAAAACAAACTTAGCCAATAAAATTAAGTCTCAATTATTGTATCACTAAGTTAAATGTAAAAATGTCTAAAACCCTCACTGGCCATCATCCCTAGAAACATCACAAATCAGAGGACACTGATACAAATGTTCTAATTTAACTATGAAAATTATTACATCCTCACTGGCCATCTTCCCTTGACAGATAAAAAATCAGAGGTTACTATCACTAAATTAATACATTTATCAGTGAGAAAGTTTCAAACCTTGATTCTAATGGCAGAGCTCGCAGTGTAGCCCCATAATTATATGAAATAGTAATAACTCATCAAGCCAAGAAAATTTTGACATGCGACTGTACGACCGACTGTACAAGTGCCATAATGTTCTTTCCTAATTCCATTTGGTTATCTCACCGAATCAAATTCCTCCCATAGGTAATGAATCAGTGTCAGCTGATGATCCTACATTCAAAAACTCATTAATAATTCATAAGCCCATTAACCTATCAAATGGTAGATAATACATCACATGCAGTGACTTTATATCGATAAACCTCCTTATTGGTATGCGGTGTTTTATCAGATATAAAGACACTGCACGTGACTTATGAATATTAATTAATTATCAACACAGAAACACAACAAATGGTGGGAACATATTTAATGTTCTTTCAACAAATTTCACACAGTAAATATACTTTGCACAAAATTAATAGTACAGTTGTGAAATACACATCTGGAAAAATTCTCTATTCCATTAGTACAGTAATCTGGTAAAGGCATATTAGACAATACATCATCTGAAACTTCGAATTCAAGATCAGTTGGCAGAAGTGACTCCAACTCGTTTTCGCTAACCTCTGCGTTTGACCTTTTCGTATGCTAATTTCTAACGTTCACAAAAGCATAATTGTTATGAACTCTCTTGACACACGCTTTTCCAAGAATGTTTTTGAAGCCGTTCAAAAAACTCGCAGCACGTGCTTTATCGGGTCAAAAACCACTTGGCTATGCCTCGTGGTTTTAAACCCGATAAAACACTCCTGCTTGTTTTTTCAACATTACTTAATTATTTTACAAAACTGAATAATATATTTACAAGTAACAGGTACAGATATCTTGATATTAGAAAAAGGAAATTCCTTGTTTAAGCAAAAAACTATTTACATTGTACAATGTTTGAAAGTACGGCTCATCAATCTTTGTTCAAAGGGAAATCTTGTACAACATGGTTGGGTATCATTTTCACAAGAAAAGCGAAAGCTATTTACATGAGCATTAATATACTGTTAAAGTTCATTCTATCGACCAGTGTTCAATGTTCAACAACTGTTGTAGTTGCTTAGAAACCATAAAAGTCCTCGCCATCGCTTTCACCAAAAATGTTCTCAAAGCATTCAGGGTCAATTTCTGCAAGTTGTCGTTCGAAGTGATCAGCATAATACAGCTGGTCGTCACCATCTACTTCATCAAGATCTTCAAATGGATCTGAGTCCGACTCCTCTTCTCAGATTTCTTCATCTTCTGTGCCATCCAATGCGTTGGTGATACAGCATTTGCGAAACGACTTGGCGATCATCTCTGGTGGTATGTCGTCCCAGGCATCACTGATTCATCTGCAGATCTCGTCAAGCCCAACCTTGCAAATGCGACCCCCGGCTGTAAAGCTGTGCTGTCCTGCCAACATCCAGTCTTGCCACTTTGCCTGCATGCGGTCCTTGAAGGGCTTGTTAATGGACACATCCAAAGGCTGAAGCATGCTGGTCATGTCACCAGGAATCACAACGCACTCTGTATTGTGGACCTCAAGGTACTGTGAACTGGTTTGGATAAGTGGGCTCTGAACGAATCCCAGACAAGCATCAACTTTCACCGGATGAGGCCACCAACTTTGCTCCAAACGGTCCGTAACCAGTCCTGCACGAGCGGTTCGTCCATCCAGCCCTTTGCCTGGCACCTGACAACAACTTCTTTCGGAAAGTTCAAGTTCTTTTGAAGTGTTTTCCGTTTAAACACAACATACAGTGGCAGTTTGGTACCATCGCCAAGGCAGGCAAGCATCACAGTAAACCTTTCCTTGTCGTGACCTGAGCTTATGATAGGGACGCTCTTGACTCCTCTGTCTGATACTGTACTGTTCGTTACAATGTCAAATGTAAGCGGGGTCTGA